CCTTGGGAGGGATGCGGCGGCGCGGCGCCCAGGATGCCCCGCAGCCCCGGGACGCGCCTCAGACCTGCCAAGTACATCCCGGTGGCCACAGCCGCTGCGCTGCTGGTCGGCTCCAGCACCTTGTTCTTCGTGTTCACGTGAGTCCGCGCCGGGCCACGGCCGGGTGGGAGGCGGCCCGGGGCCGGGCTGGCCGGGCACAGGGACTGGGCCGGGCACCGAGGCCTGCAGGGAGGCGGCAGCGCGGCGGACGTGAGCCCCTGTAGCGCGCCGGGAGGCTGGGCTGGGAGTCTGTCTCTCCTGGGGCATGAGAGACAGGCGAGGCCTGGTGGGGACGTGCCAGGTGGGCACCGCCTGAGGGTGCCAGGCAGGTCCTGGGTATGAGGCGGTGGGCGGGACAAACGGGAGTTTGTGCAGCGGCTGTCCAGGGTGTGGCTTCAGCTTTCCACATCCCACGGGTACACGAGTGAACGTGGGCGTGCAGAGCCACCCGACTTCCCTGCAAAGAGCCCTCTGTGCTGACCGGCCTGGGTCAGAGCCCAGTTGTTGCTTGTAGGTGTGGCCTGGCCCAGCCACCACGTGCCTGCCCCTCAGCCGCGGGCGAAGCCTGCTGGGCCTTCTGCCCTTCCTTGGGTTGTGTGGAGCGCCCAGGCCTGGCCACACCTCGGGATAGAGATTTGCACAGCATGTCCCGGGGTGCACACTGGGCTCCTGGAGATCAGGCACAGAGTGCGGACAGGGCACTGGGCCAGCTAGCCTCAACTTCCACACCTGAGAAGCGGGCTAGCTCGCAGACCCAGAGCTCTTGTGTGGAGGACATGCTGCCTTCTCTGTGCTCATGGGGTTCCTGGGTCCCAGGCTTCTTCAGGCAGGAGAAAGGGAGAGGCTGCAGCCAGGGGGACATGCAGCTACCTCCTTCCACCCATCTGAAGCTGAGCTCAGGGGCTAGAGTGATGGCTTCGGCCCCTAGAGTCTTCCTGGGAAACAAGGCCCCTGGGGGTACCTTCGGCCAGTGAGGCATCTGCCGCCAGGCAGTGGCCCTGCAGGTAAGTGGGCCCAGAGCAGGCTGGGCAGGGCAGGGCAGCCAGATCCCTTTCACCTTAACAAGAGTGAGTTTGAATTGAGCATCTGTGGGGGTGGGAGAGCCTCTGTCTGCCTGGGGTAGGAGCTTTGGGGTGGGTGTGGAAGGCTGCGAGAGTGTTTAAAAAAGGCCTGTGTGGACGGGCTTATTTCTGGCTTGGACAAGCAGGCGTGTTCCTTGTCGTACAGATGCTGCTGGCCTGTAGCTGGGAAGAAGAGGGGCAGTGGGCGGACAGGCCTGGGGCTTCTGTCCTGGGGGTGCAGGCCAAGGGAAATGGAAAAGAGGGTTCCCACCCAGTCTTAGACCTTCCCTGGAGGCCCTGACTTCTCTGGAGGCCAGGTGGGAGGAGTGTGAGAGTCAAGTGGGGGCATCTTGGTGCTGGCCCGGAGGCCTGGCCTCCACTTGTCCATCTCAGTTTGTCACTCCTCAGATACTATTCAGGATCTTCTCTGACTTTAAAAGTAACTCATGGTTTCTGTTGAGAACCGGGGAAATGGAGAGCCAAGTATTTTAAGAGATTAGAGCTGACTGCATTCCCAGATGGGCGTTCTGCACCTGGACCCTTTCCTCCAGGGCTCCCTGTGGCACCCCCTGGGACCATGCTGGAGTGTGCCTGTTGGCTCATTTGTCTGAGCCCTTCCCTGTGATGTCAAATGTTTAAAACACCGTATTCGAGAAAGAGCCTGTGATGTGGTTATTCTCTCTGAACTTAACCTGTCCCCAAATGTTGGCCACTGACGTTAGCCTCACCTTGCCAAGTGCCACTTCTTCACTTGCTTTCTTCCTGGAAGCTTAGGTTCTGGGTTCAAGGACATCAGTGCTGTTAAAGTGTGGAGGTTTCTGCCGGGCAGCTTCAGAAGCCATTCCTGCCCGCCTCAGTCCTGCGTGTGCCTGCTTTGCCCTTGGCTGGCCTACGCCTGGGAGGAAGGGGGCTGCCCTGCAAAGTGTGTGGCCCAAGGTGCTAGTGTGGTGCTCAGATGTACAGTGGCCATTTAGCGAAGCCTCAGGAGCCCCACTCACCCCTCGGTCCAGGGCTCCTCTGCACCCTGACCCCAGCCAGGCCTGCTCCCTGGGCCCATGCAGTTCTCCTGGCCAAAGAGTTGTTGATTTGCTCCCCACCCCGATCTTTCTGGGCCCCTTTGAGATGGCTCAGTTCTTGAGGAGGGTGCTTTGCTGGGAAGAGGGGGGCAGGCCCATGGGTGCTGGACACGGTGTGGGTGCAGGCGAGGTACAGGCGAGCTGGGGCGGGGCACCAGGCTGTTCCTTTTCACAGGTGCTTTTCTTGGGGTGGGCCTCTCGTCACCCGACAGCTGCCTTCCAGCACTGTGTTGGGTCCAGAAGGACGCGCGCTCCTGTGTCACTGCCTGTCCCTGAGCTAGGACCTCCCACCCTGCCCGGCTTTGCTCTCTTGGTCTCAGGGCTTCTGCCTTGCTGCATTTGCGTCTTGATTTTCCTGCATCGTGGTGGCTCCCAGGTTCCTCCTCTGTGTTTATGAGACAAATGTTATCCCCTGTCAGGGTTCCTCATGCCCAAGCAGGTGATGGTCCCTGGTTCACACAAGGCAGGTTGCTTCCCTCCGATCATCTCACTGGAGGTAGGACCAGGTGGACCTGAAGCAGGTGGGGACACAGGCAGGATACACAGGGAGGCGCCCCTCTCCCTGCTCCCACCCTGGGTGTTGAGGACAAGCGCACACTGCCAGGCAGGTTCCTAGGGAACCTCTTCTTCCCGGAAGCCTTCCTCAATTTTCTGGGGAGGTTTGTGTCACCCTGAGCCACAGAGGGCATGCACACCATGGCACACTACCAGGCTGGCCAGATGCTGGCAGGGTCTGAGGGTGCCCAGGCTGGGCCTCTGCTCTGCCCAACTCCCCACAGAGCCCCTCAGCAGAATGACAAGAACCCTGTGAACATCAGCGGGCTGGGCTGTTGGGCAGGAACAGGCCACGGCAGGCTGACCACTGGGAAGGCACTGGTGGTTCATGGTCCCTCTCGTACTCACAGACCCCCACAGGCTGCAGGGAGCCACTGGCTGGGGCCACGAGGGGAAGCAGGACCTGCTTTTGCGAACAATTGTGCGCCTTCCCTGCCAGGACTCACGATGTGTGGCCCTTCTGAGCCCCGTTCCCCCATTTGCCCAGGGGGTCTATAGGGATCAGGTGAATGGGTTGGGCCCTCTGTGGTCACCTTGTGGCTGCAGCCAGTGGATCTGCCCGACTCAGACCAGGGCAGAAGGGCCCCCGAGCCATGGGTTCTGGGCAGCCCCTGTGGGCAGGTGCCACTGTCAGACACAAACAGTGTTAATGAAAAGCCTGATGAAAATGAAAATGTCTGATTTAAAATTTTCCATTCCACATTTAGCTGCAGTACACATGCTACCCCTGCAGACCCACTCCTCCCAGCAGCTGGGTGGCCCAGCCCATGCGGGACGAGGGGCCTCAGTCTGGGTGGGGCCCATGTCTGTGGCACGTGTCCTGGCCCATGGCCCTGACACTGGGGGAGGCGGGCAGGGAGGAGGGCTCAGAGCTTCAGAGCTGGGACTTCCCTGCTCCAAAGGCCTGACCTCAGCCTGCCTCTGGCCTGCACTGTGGCTTGAGCCAACAAGGAGTGGATTAAAACTGAAGGCTGCCCGATGCCCCAAAGGGCACACCTTGCAGACTACATGCTCAACCGGCAGCCCCAGGGACCTGTGGCCATGTCTCTCTGATCACTTGGATTAGATGAACTCAGGGTGGAGGGAGCTGTCAGTGTACTGGGGCCAGTCCAGAGCAGGACCGCCCTCCGCTTGGCCCCTGGGAGCTTTCTGGCTGTAAGGAGTGGAGCCCAGGGTGGTGGAAGGCCTGCCTGAAGCATATGCCAGGGCACTGAGCCAGGGTTGGACCAGGCCTGGGATTGGCAGAGGAAGGAGGAACATGCACATGTGTGTGCTGATGGGTGTAATGTGTATGCCTCTGTGTCTGCATGAGGAGGTGTTCACGTGTGTGTGTGTTCTTGCATGTGCATCAGTGTGTACAAGGGTCTATGACTGCACACATGCATGTTTACACATGGACTGTGTCTTGCCTGTGGATGTGTTAATGTGTGTATGTGTGTTCATATATGTGTGCCTTGGTAGATGCTTCTGTGTTTGTGCGTGTACATATGTTCATGTGTACATGCATCTGTGTATATGTGTTTGTGTCCCTGTGTGTACACACGTTCATATATACCTGTGTTTGTGTGTTCATGTGGTGGTGTTGTTGTTGTTATGTGCCATCAAGTCGGCCCCGACTCATAGCGACCCCTCCTTGGGTTTCCGAGGCAGTATCACTACGGAAGTAGGATTGCCCAACCTTCCTTCCGAGGAGTGGCTGGTGGGTTTGAACCGCCAGCCGTCTGGTTAGCAGGCAAGTGTCTTAGCCACTGTGCTACCAGAGCTCCCGTGTTCATGTGAGCATGTGTATGTATTTTTGCCCATACTTATCCTCCACTTAGCCCATACAAGTTTCTGAGGCAGCTGAATTCTGGGCCCTATCAGGGCCGGCCAGTGACCCAGTTCCAGTTATGGGGGACCCAGGTCTGAGACTCCTAGTAAGATACCTGCTGCAAGTGGGAGAGGCCACCTGGAGAAGGCAGGGGATGAGAGAGTGTGGGAGTACCTGCCGAGGCCTGAGTGGGGCCTGGGGGACCGGAAGATGATGGGGGGGGGCGTGGTCAGGGCACAGATCCCAGTCAGAGAACCTGCAGGCCCTCTCCCAGAAGCTTCACCTGGTTCAAGATACCCACCGTGTGCAGCGCCTCAAAGAAGGCATTGCCTGGTCACAATGTAGGTTTCTAAATGTGGCCACATCGCTGCGTGGCTGCTGCCCCACCTACCCCAGGGCATCTCCCTCAGAGCCGTGGTCCAGTCCACCTGGCCTGGGGGGACCCAAGGCTCAAGGAGCACAGTGCAGGGCAGATGGCTGGGCTAGTGAGGGGCTCTGATTGAAGCAGGAGGTGGGGGGATTTGCACACGGGGTTTAGTCTCCATCTGCTTGGTGGGCAGGTGTGCCCCTACAGGTGGCAAGGGCCCATCTGAGGTCAGGGCCGGGAGACAGCAGGCACAAGTTCCAGTCCCAGCCCAGACCCACTCTGAGACCTTGGGTGCGTGACCAAGTGCTCCAAGCCTCTGTTCCTTGTCTGTGAAATGAGTAGAAGGCCGTGTCTGCGCAGGTGAGAGGGTTGGATGAGAGGCCGGCAAGCAGCAGCAGTGTCCACGGGTGGGGGCTGACGGTGACCTCGTCGCCTCGTGTTGCCTCCCCTGCTGAGCGTCCTCAGCCCTGACCCGCTGCTGCATGTGCTGTCTGTCTGTCTGTCCTCCACCAGGGCCAGTTTCACGGACATGCAGTCACCAGGGCTTCACATCCGCAGGCTGCTTAATGCCCTGCTTTTGCAATCTTGAAATCCTTAATGTTTTAATGTTGTTGTTGTTGTTGTTACATGCCGTCGAGTCGGCCCCGACTCATAGCGACCCCTCCTTGGGTTTCCGAGGCAGTATCACTGCGGAAGTAGGATTGCCCAACCTTCCTTCCGAGGAGTG